AAAAAAAAAAAAAAAAAAAAAAAAAGTCATAGATGAAGCCAAAAACAAGAATGCTAGGCTAACATCTAATCAACCTAATTAATGGGCTTCTTTTGATTGTTTTTTAGCTCAAAAAACAACACATTTGAGATCCCACCCTCTACTTTCATATAATACTTCATTTGGATTTATTATTATTTTTTTTTATTTTTTCAAAAACATCATTTAATTTCTTAGCAATTAAGTTGGTGACTTTACTTTTAGGTATATATATATATATATATGCCTAACCCTCTTCATTTCCCGATCAATTCCCTTTTAAAATAATAAACGGTCAAGATCTTCCCATCAACCATCGTTTAATGACTTTTATATGACATGTAGGACCAACACCTATCGAAATTTAGTTTGGACCCCTTTACAAAGTTACCATAGAAAATGACCTTTTAAGTAAATTTACATTTCAGTCCTTAGGACTCCGACACGTTATTTTTACATTTATAAGGGATTTTTTTAGTATTTTACATCAAATTTCCGTTCATTGTAACTAATCAATAAATTCAACCAAACATTATATTTTTAATATTTAATATCTCAAATATTTTATTTTGATATAATCTTTTAAATATATTTTTATATATTCTGGGGGTATTTTTGACCAAAAGAAAATTAGCAAAGACTTCAGAGGGTTGAAAGCTGAAAAGTCCACAGTCAATTGGATATTTAAAACTCTATTTTTTTAAAAAAAAAAACAAATAAATGTATAATTGGAAATAAAATTGTTTTAATTACCAAAACATAAAGAAAACCTGAATAATAATTATTATAATTAATTATTAATTTTTTTTTTAAACAATAAAAGAATTTTTTATAATAGCACAGTCACAAGGGCCTCTCTTTCAACCCACCCCCACCCCCACCCCCTTCTTCCCCCAACCATTTCACCATTCTTTTTCCACACCCATTTATTAGATTCCTTCAATGCTCCTTTCTTCTCCATTGGAATTCGCCGATTCTTAACCCAAAAACCCATTTCAATTTCTTCATTTCTTCTTCATTTTTTGCACTTTTGGGCATACAAATCTTCTGGGTTTTTCTGTTTTTGCTTCCTTTCTCCGAATTTCCCCTTCTGGGTTTGTTGTACAGATGCCTGTTTTTGTAATCCACGACTGTTTTCTTACAGTTTTTTAACAAAACAATCATGTTTCATATTTTTCTTCTTTTTTTTGTTGGGTGTGTATGAATAAGTTATTTAAGTCAAAGTTTCTTCCAATTTTCTTTCACTCTTGAACCATATATTTAAATAAATAGGGAAAAACAGAGTGATATGGGGAAGAATGGACCTTGCTGTCACTGTGGAGTTATAAGTGAGTTCTTGTTCCTTCATTTTGTGTGTTTGTTTTACTTTCTTGTTTGGTTTCTCTGTAATTTTTGTAAATGAGTGTTGATTTTTCAGCTTGGTTTTGTAAAACATTTGTTCTGACAATGCTCTTGTTTGCTTGATGCTGTAAATTCTTCATTGGGTTTGTGAATTAGGAGAGGATTTTATGAAAGAAAGACTGAATTATAGTGTTTGAATGTTTCACTTCTCTTTTTTGAGCTGAGTTCTTTTAGGAGTGAATGCTTTTGTTGAGGATTGTTAGGAGGGAGTCCCATGTTGGCTAGTTTAGGAATGATCATGAGTTTATGTTGTGAGTCTCGAAGGTGTCGTGCTTTGTTCGAGGGCTCTAGAGAAGGAGTCGAGCCTCGATTAAGGGGAGGCTATTCGAGGGTTCTATAAGCCTCAAGGGAGGCTCTATCTTGTACTTTGTTCGAGGAGAGGATTGTTGAGGATTGTTGGGAGGGAGTCATGGGTTTATAAGTAAGGAATACACCTCCATTGATACGAGGCCTTTTCGGGAAACCAAAAGTAAAGCCATGGGAGTTTATGCTCAAAGTGGACAATATCATACCATTGCCGAGGGTTGGGATTCCTAACAGCTTTCATTCCCTGAGCTTAACCTTTATATTGAGTTGTGTGCTTTCTGAATTTGCATCATCATTTCTCATGAGTTGTAATTGACCTTGATGTTGAGTTTAATCACCATTTACACCCTGAGTGATTCAACATTTAGGTTCTGAACTCCACTGACATAGCAAAAGGTTCATTGGTTTTGTGCTGGTTTCTTTGTTAGTTCTTTTAGTAGTATTAGTAGAGCTCTAGGATTACGGTTTCACTGAAATCAGGTAAACTATGCTAGCCAATATTTATGGTTCTCAAGCGACCCGGGCGCGTCGATGGAGAAGATTCTATATTTTTGTTTCCCATAAGAAGAAGTGTTATTCATCACATTGATCACTACTATGGCTTACCTCATGTCATATTGGTCTTCAGTAATTTGCCTGCAACGTCCCTATGTAACGTGAGCTCGGGTAGTTAGATATCGACTTTTTGTAAGTTGGGCAACATGTTATACCATCTCCATGCATTATTCTACCAGAAACTTATTGAGTTCTTATAAAACAATGGATAAAAGTTGGAACAACTCTTGTTCTTTGCTTTGTTGTATTGAAAATTCTACAGTTTCAGTGATTGTTAGTTTAAGAATCTTTACTTCTGAGTATCTAATGCCCAAATGCTGGGACAGGCACTCCTCTTTGGCGTAATGGACCTCCCGACAAACCGGTGTTATGCAATGCGTGTGGATCCCGATGGAGGACAAAAGGAACACTCACAAACTATACCCCGTTGCATGCTCGGACTGTTCCTGATGAATATGAAGATCACAGGGCTTCCAGGGTGAAGAGCATTTCAATAAATAAAAACAAAGAAGTAAAACTGCTGAAACGAAAGCTACAACAAGCCGATGGATCGATTGGGTGGACGCTTCCCGATCAAGGTCAGGATTACCATAGAGTAGTGGATGAAGACACAAGCAATAGGTCGAGTTCTGGATCGGCCATATCTAATCCTGAGAGTTGTGCCCATTTCAGCAGTGCAGATGCAAGTGATTTGACAGGTTAAACACTGAAAACAATTCTTGATGATTGATAGAACGAACGTCTTCGAAACCTTCCGCTCGAATCTTATGTTTAATATTTGATTATTATAGCTCAATTGGTTTTGTTCTATTATTCATCTTAGTGAATGAGCTATGCAATGCTGACTGTAATTATCTTCCATTTGGCAATCTTAAGGTCCAGCTCAGTCAGTAGTGTGGGAGACGACAGTGCCTTCGAGGAAGAGGACGTGTGTGACTCGTCCAAAGCAATCCCCGGTCGAAAAACTGACTAAAGATCTATGTAGTATTTTACGAGAGCAGAGATCCTCCTATTTCTCCGAAGCTTCCGAGGATGATCTGCTTTTCGAGAGCGAAAAACCTATGGTCTCTGTTGAGATAGGCCATGGAAGCATTCTCATTAGGCATCCAAGCTCGATAGCTCGAGACGAGGAATCTGAAGCTAGCTCAGTTTCAGTTGATAACAAGCAATACTTGATAAATGATATCTATTCCCCTCATTCTGCAACTGTTCTTGTATGTAGTGAACAACAAGAACAATTTAAAAGGTAGCTCCAATCTACTTCACAAAATTGAAAACAAAGGGAAATGCATAACACAATTATATGAACAATCACTATTCTTTTTCTCTTCAAATTTCAGGGATGAGTCTCGTCACGAATGCTTACAAGTTCTTGGAAACCACGACTCGCCCTTATGTGATGTAGATATAAATGTAAGTTGCATCTTTTAGTTCGCTGGATCCATTCCTGGTTTTGTGAATTCTGATAAATATTTATGTATCTTAGTGCAAATGTGCTTTGTTTCTATGTCTAGGACGTCGTAAACTTCGGAGAGTTTGCGAGACGGTTAACAAATGAAGAACAACAGCAACTAATGAAGTACCTACCACAGGTTGATATCGCTGAATTTCCCCAGACGTAAGAATCTTTTTCGTTCGTGTTTATCGATTCTTTTCTGTTCCTCCCTACCTAACGCCAGATAGGGAAAGGAAAATAGTTAGCTCAAGAGGGCAACATTATGCACACGGTGCCCATTGTTCTATTTGGGCTTCCTCTCAAGGCTTTTAAAACGTGTCTGCTAGGGAGAGGTTTCTACACCCTTATAAGAAATGCTTCGTTCCCCTTTCCAATCGATGTGAGATCTCAAAATCCATTCGCTGAAGGACCCAATGTCCTCGTTGCCACATCGCCCGGTGTCTGGCTCTGATGTTATTTGTAACAGCCCAAGCCTACCGCTAGCAGATATTGTCTTTCTTGGGCTTCTCCTCAAGGTTTTTAAAACGTGTCTGTTAGGGAGAGGTTTCCACACCCTTATAAGTAATGCTTTGTTCCCCTCTCCAACCGATGTGGGATCTCACAATCCACCCCCTTGAGGGCCCAACGTCCTCGCTGGCACACCGCCCGGTGTCTGGCTCTGATACCATTTGTAATAGCCCAAGCTTACCACTAGCAGATATTGTCTTCTTTGTTCTTCCCTTCAAGGTTTTTAAAACGCGTCTACTAAGGAGAGATTTCCACACCCTTATAAGGAATACTTCATTCTCCCCTCCAACCGACGTGGGATCTCACAATCCACCCCCTTTGAGGGCCCAGCGTCCTCGCTGACACACTGCCCGGTGTCTGGCTCTGATACAATTTGTAACAGCCCAAACCCACCGTTAACATATATCGTCCTCTTGGGGTTTCCCCTCAAGGTTTGTAAAATGCGTATGCTAGGGAGAGGTTTCCACATCCTTATAAGGAATGCTTCATTTCCCTCTTCAACCGACGTGGGATCTCACATATATAATTCGAGTATAATAAAGTACACTATTAGTTTACTCACACTAGATAGTCCAAGAAAATCACACGTCAGAGATTCTTGTTGTTTTATTTGCAGTCTCAAGAGTATGTTTGATAGCCCCTATTTCAAGGAGAATTTAATGTCCTTCCAACAACTGCTTAGCGAGGGCGTTTTCGATGCCTCCTTCCTTGGAACGAAGATCGAAGACTGCAAGACTCTGAGAAGGCTCGTATTATCTAATTCATCAAAATCCAAATGGGTCGAGCTCTATCAACAACTGAAGGTGAGGTCGATTTTACAGTGATTAGATTTTTTCGATGGGAACGATAGGAAGAAAACTTCTAAGATGCATTTTAATCGAGTATTGTGAACGTGCAGAAATGTGAAAATGGTAGCAAAGAACCTTTTTTTTCCCGTGCCAACACGTCGGTGTCGAGTAACTACATGAATGTTGATGAGAGCTACAATCAAACTATTCCAGGTAAGAGAGCAAATTGTCTGCTGGATCTAATTAAAATGCTTATTCTTCTCAGTTTGCAGGATGATATACTTGTATCTTCCTAACTTTAACTTTAAATGGCATGTAGTACGAACTTCGACGCACCATCTTAGCAATAGCTAATCTGCATAGTTAAACTAAGATGCACGTGTTTTGTCTGAATGTCCTTTAGTATAAGGGGAGGTGCCTTATTGATGACTAGTATGCATAGTAAAACTAAGATGCACGTGTGTTGTCTGTATTTCCTTTAGTTTAAGGAGAGGTGCCTTGTCGAAGGGTAGTCTGCAGAGTAAAACTAAGATGCACGTGTTTTGTCTGTATTTCCTTTAGTTTAAGGAGAGGTGCCTTATCGAAGGGTAGTCTGCAGAGTAAAACTAAGATGCACGTGTTTTGTCTGTATTTCCTGTTGTTTAAGGAGAGGTGCCTTATCGAAGGGTAGTCTGCATAGTAAAACTAAGATGCACGTGTTTTTTTCTGTATTTCCTTTAGTTTAAGGAGAGGTGCCTTATCGAAGGGTAGTCTGCATAGTAAAACTAAGATGCACGTGTTTTTTCTGTATTTCCTTTAGTTTAAGGAGAGGTGCCTTATCGAAGGGTAGTCTGCATAGTAAAACTAAGATGCACGTGTTTTTTTCTGTATTTCCTTTAGTTTAAGGAGAGGTGCCTTATCGAAGGGTAGTCTGCATAGTAAAACTAAGATGCACGTGTTTTTTTCTGTATTTCCTTTAGTTTAAGGAGAGGTGCCTTATCGAAGGGTAGTCTGCATAGTAAAACTAAGATGCACGTGTTTTGTCTGTATTTCCTTTAGTTTAAGGAGAGGTGCCTTATCGAAGGGTAGTCTGCATAGTAAAACTAAGATGCACGTGTTTTGTCTGTATTTCCTTTAGTTTAAGGAGAGGTGCCTTATCGAAGGGTAGTCTGCATAGTAAAACTAAGATGCACGTGTTTTGTCCGTATTTCCTTTAGTTTAAGGAGAGGTGCCTTACGAAGGGTAGTCTGCATAGTAAAACAAAGATGCGGAAGTGTTGTGTCCAAAATTCCTTTAGTTTAAGGACAGGTACCCCACCAGTAGTAGGGTGGATCATTTACACTTGTGGATTTCTTTCTTTAAGAATGAGCACGAAACGATGATTTTACCGATACAAACTCGCATTATGATCTGCTGCAGACTTTATTACATGAATACTATCGTGTTTAAATTTTTGTTCGGTCGATTTCAACCATACTCAGTAAATATTTGCCATCATCAGAGGTAATGACTATCATGAAGAGTCCCAAAAGATTGGTGATGAAGGAAAATAAGGATCCTGGAGAGAATGATGGGTCTTGCTTCAGTCCTAGAAGCTTATTTGCCTTGCCATCTGATGGAAGCTACGACATGTTCGACTGCTTGCATTTTGTTGAAGAACGTTCGGATCACGGTCTATTGTTAGAGGTACGGTCGAATAGTTCGTTCCCACAAGCCGAGCTCCTTCACCCGACCTCTCATTCTGGTGGTAGGCAGGCCAGCACATGTAGTAGTTCAGTTCACCCACATCTTGTTCATCACTAACAACTGTATTTTCTGTTCATAACATGCGTGCTTAATAACTATGGCTCGGACTCGCATGCTTGGCTAGTCGGTAAACGAGGTCGAATATCAGTTTTCTTTTCACTTCACCCCTTGGATGAAGTTCGAATGATGGAAACATCAATTTGGGTGGAAAATTTTGTATAGGGTTAACACTAGATTTGTAAGATATATACTTGAATTTTATGTATCGAAGAATTGATAGTTCCTAGATCTTTGTATGGTAGGTGTCGAGTCCATCTTTCTTAATATTTCCTTTATCGGTCATATCATCACTAAACGTGACTGTATCGTTACTTTCCCTCGTGACTGTATTGACAAGTTTTCAAAAAGCATAGTAGTAACCACATCACCACGAAACATAGAGATCATATTATTGCTCTTCCTCATGTTCATATCGACAAGTTTACACTAATCTCTTTCATGATCATACATATGCTCGAGGTCTCACTGATAAGAACATCATTAGGACCACATATTTCATACAACGTTATCTCTTACACTGATACCAACATTCGAATTTTCATAAAAACGTTCACATCAGTAATATGAATAACATATACTATGATATGCATAATACAACACATAGGTATGTTTAATTAAAGGGTTAATAGAGGTGAATGTTAGTATCATAAGCAATTCCTGCCTTCCAATAGCTTGGGAGAGCATTGGTTACCATCACCCACCTTCCATATCCCACACTTCCACTCACTTGAAACCTCAATTTTATGTCTCCTTTAGGTGGGTTTGCCATGTCCCAAACAGCTCCATGGGATCTCCTCATCCCTTTCCATTCATTGCAATCCTCCTACATCAAACCATATCACAAACCCTAGTTAGAGAAACGACCCATAACAAGTCAGCTATTTGCAGAAGCCCTGCAGAAGCCCTTGAGACAGAGACGGGAAAACCTTTCTGTTCCCACCTCTACGAGATTCTCCATTTACTTTTGTAAGGGTTAGTCCAGAGGTAGGATATCCACGTAAATAAGATGTCCTTCACTCAATTTGGAGAAATCTCTCCCTACTCCCTCTCTTAATGTCCATTGTGTTTGAGATGGGATCTTATGGATCTCCACAAGTTAAATTGTAACAGCCCAAGCCCACCGTTAGTAAATATTGTTCTTTTGGGCTTTTCCTTTCGAGCTTTCCCTCAAGATTTTTAAAACGTGTCTATTAGGGAAAGATTTCCACACCCTTGTAAACAATGTTTCGTTCTCCTCCCCAATCAAATGAGATCTCACATAAATGGATATCTCTACTACCAGCAATAATCCTTAACCAAAAGTTTGTTGCATTACGAAAGAAGTATATGTTCTAACATGAGTAAATTATATATATACTAAAACAATCGCGAGATATTTAGAGTTTAGTAAAACGAATAAACGAACCTGCCACAATTCAACGACGGTGATATCGTTTTGGCCACCGACATAAATGATGATGATCGCCAAGTAGTCCGGGTACCTACTATGCTCATGAACCTTGAACTTGACCGTGTTGTAATTAGGGTATTGGCACGAAACCCTTCTGAATTGTACATCAACCACACCATAAGAGAACAATTCAAAGGCTGTGTTTGGATGAGCTAATTTTGCAAAGGCTCGTGGGCTCATGATAAAGTCAGTGTAATCCCCTTCACCATGGTCAGTCACCACTACATAGGCTCCACTATCACTGCAATATGTTGGATTAGTGCACCTAACCTGAACCACCATTAACATCAAATTACATCTTAAATTAAACTTATGCTAATAGTTTATTAGAAAGTAAGCTAACATAATAATGAATGATACCTGGTAGCATGCACCACAACCAGAACCATTCCTATAGAGATAAGAAACTGCAGCAACATTGCCATCATTCACAGTCCTTCCAAAGTCACCAAATCCACAAGCCCCAGCTGAAAGAATGTTTAGTACCTTAATCATACCTCATTCATGTTTTAAAAAATTGCACGTTAGCGTTCTAAAATCATTCATGTAACGGCTCAGGTCCACGGCTCAAGATTTTTAAAATGCTTCTGCTAAGGAAAGGTTTTCACAACCTTATAAAGGGTGTTTCGTTCTCCTCCCCAACCGATGTGGGATCTTATAACTCATTTTCGTTTATGGAATTAAGTAGAGAATTCAAATCATTCATTAAAAAGATGTGAAAACTACGGAGAATTGTGAGAAAACGTGCACAAATTTTAAAATAGAAACCGAAAAAGGTAGAATTGAAAGGGGCATACATGGTGTCCCATAGCAATCAGGGCTGCCATAATAAGTGGCTCTAGAGTATACAAAGTTGTCTTGAGAGGAGCATGGCATAGGCAAGAGCACGAGCAATAGGCAGCCAAAAATGGGACATTTAACTGAGATCTCCATTAATTATAGGCCTCAAAAGCAAAGCGTTTGTGAAAATCCTCAAAGAAAATGGTTTAGGAGTCGAAAGAATTTAGGAAAAGATGAGATTGTTGGGAACATTTGGTTTGAGAGAGCCTTTATTTATAAGTGTGAGATTTTGAGGCCAACTTTTTTTTTCTTTTTTTTAGAGAAAAGGGAAGGAACTTGCTCAACCCATTTCAGGGTGTTGTACCACAAGTATCGCAACAAAAAAAAGTTACGATATCCCATTGTTGTAGTGAAAGCGGAAGTAAAATCGATTGCACTCACATGCCCACAAAAAGAAATTGAACAAATAAACACAAAGATTTACATTGGTTTGGAGAGAAGAAACTTTCCTATATACACGGTGTGGGGTAGCCAATTACTATAACTAAAGTATTTACAAGTGTATCTCTTGACTATTCTTCCAATTAATTTTTGGCAAAATAAACTTGTGGAGTCCAAATCAATGGCTTTATTAGGTTAAAATTATAATTAGTAAGTGTAACAGTTCAGAGAAGTGGCTAGCCGATATTATCCTCTTTTGATTTTCTCTTTCAGGCTTACTCTCAAGGTTTTTAAAACGCGTATGCTAGAGAGAGGTTTCCACACCTTTATAAAAGGTGTTTCGTTATCCTCTCCAACCGGCGTAGGATGTTACTGTAATGTAAGTCATTAGGTGTTTGGTTGTTTTTTTATCAAATACTTCAAAGAGTAAATACCATTGATTAGTTGAATAGTATACAAACATATTTAAAGAGATAATTAACACATAAAAGAAACTTCATTGTAGATTCTATAAAATGGGGTTAGGTGAGCTTTTTTTAATCCTGCCGTCCTCAAGTGACTCTCCAACGCACTAACCTAAAAAATGATAAACTTTCATTGAAAAACATGTAATCATCGCATCCATTTGTGTGTATAGAATTATATATCAATATTATAGGCTTGTTTAAATCAAAACAAACACTGCAACCATGGTGGAAATTCATAACTCGGTTTAATATATCAATATTAATCGAACGGACCGATGTAAAAGTTATCTTATTTATAATCCAATAAATTACAAGGATATGAAAAAAGTAATAAACGAAAATAACAATAAATGGAAAGATATTTGCCTTATAATCAAATATCAAATATGGTAAACTATAATTTATTACTAAATATCCTCAACAACTTTATATCCCAAGAAAAAAAGGAGGGTATACGAATGAATCGTAACCACATTTGAATAAAAGTGACTAAGAAAAACTTAAAAAATGGTTATAACTATTTTGTAACTGATTATCTATATCAATAAGGTGCACTTTCTTTCTCAGTGGGTTAATTATAAAAATTTTAGAGTTAAACGTGCTTTATTTAGAACAATTCTATATTGAGTGACCTTGTAGCATGCATGTCAGTATTGTTAAGATATACCTTCTTACTATGACAATCTTTTCAAAGCTATGAACATATAGAGATATACCTTCTTATTATGACAATCTTTTCAAAGCTATGAACATATAGAGATATACCTTCTTACTATGACAATCTTTTCAAAGCTATGAACATATAGAGATATACCTTCTTACTATGACAATATACCTTCTTACTATGACAATCTTTTCAAAGCTAGGAACATATAGAGATTTACCTACATTATTTGATCATTTCAAATTGATTACAAAATTATTTCATATAAAACCACCCAATTAGGTTGTTAATGAGAAATTTATAGACCTTAAATGAAAACGAATTTTTTTAAACATAAACGAGCACGTACGTTGTTAAACGAATTTTATTAAATTATAAACTTAGTCCTTACACTTTTAGAGTTGTGTCGAATATATCCCATAACTTTATAAACATGTCTTATAAATTTTTAATTTTGTGTTTAATAAATCATTGACCAAACATCTTTTTTAATTTTCGAATACGTGGATACAAAATTCAAAATCTAATATCTTATTAGATACCCAATTTAATTTGATAAATTCATTGATGTTACAAAATGGTACCAACACAAAATTGATAATGTAAAAACTTATTTAACATATTTAGAATATTAATTAAGGGACAAAAATAAAAGTTTAAATTAAAACTAAATAAAGACTAAATTTCAAGGATATCATTTAAATTTATAAAGTAATTAACCTAAGATAACATCTAGAAGCAAAGTGAATTAGTTAAACTTTAGGTTAAAAGAGAAATGAAGAACAATCATAAATGATAATCATAAATGATAGTCACTATACATAGATGGATGAATAGGGGGAACTTGACAAAGACACATCGACTTCCATAAATGGCTCACTCTCTTTACCACTACGAGAAAAATAAAATGGGTAGGGTTTTACAAGTGTAGGGTTCATAATTGGCTAGGGTTTCTTTGTATCCTTCTTGAACACTTGTAAAGAAGGCCTATCTAGTTGGTGATAAGCCAAAAGAATTGCATACCCACCAACCAACAAACAATGCCTCTTCATATTAGTTAATGACCTTCACAATGAGGATATTGATACTTATTTATTTTGCCCTTCATGTAGTGTATTGGGTTGGAAGCAACTAGATTACTTTGAACCATTATTCAAAAGCAAAAAGGACACCAAACCCAAATGGGGAAAAGGGATAACTGGTATTAGTTTAAGAAAAAAAAATGGGGAAGGATACATGGCCGTTTTGAGTTCTGATCTGCTTGTGTTACTCAAGTAAAAAGAGGAGTACATGAATGAACTGAGACTATATCCGAATGAGAACAATCCTAAGAATTGAATGACTAAGAAGATTGAAAATTATATATATATATATATATATCAACCAAGTGCACCTTCTTTTTCCGTGTTTTAATTTTGAGAACTTTAACCTTACGTGCTTTTTCAGTGGTTTAATCATAGAAACTTCAAAGTTAAGTGTGGTTTGCTTGAAATAATTTTAGGATGAGTAACCTCTTAAAGATCTTCCAAGAAAGCATGTCACATGTGAATGCTAATGCCATTCGATGTCGAATTTAAATTCCAAATCTTGATCCGAATTTTGGGCATGAATCGTTCTACCAAACGACGTCTTACAAATCAAAATATTGCCCTTATTTATATACTTGTGAATCTTTTGGCTCATATGATACTACATACACATTTCTTATAAATACTAAATTAACTAAAATTACCCGTAAATCAATACCTAGGATGAAAAGAAAAAAAAGATCACGGAGGCTTTATGTAGAAAAGGTAAAATTTGATAACATTAATGGATACATAATAAAGAACCGTTGACAACCAACAATTATTTATATTAATTAAAGTACTGTGGCCTGAATTAAAACGTTAGACGTTGAAATCTCTAATATCTAAAATGAATTAAAACTAAAAAATACAAATTAATCTCACTAAAATAAAATTAAAACATATAGTTATTTTGTGATTTGGAAAGTAAATTAAGTTATATCAAAATTGGAATTAATCTTGAAGATATTTAACACACTTTCAAATAATTTAAAGAGATTGAGATTTGAATGGGAAGAAGATATTTTGCATTAAAAAAGGACATTAAATGCAAAAGGAAGAAAGTGAGATGATGGAAGGAAGTGAGGTTCATAGGCCTTTTACAAGTGTCATATGGATTATTATGAGGAGGAAAAGTGGGGCTTATAGGGTTGATGAGATATGGTGGATCCATCAAAACAACCACCAATAATTACATTCACAAACCTACGACCTCTAATAGATTCTATGTTATTAGAATTAATTAAGATTGAGTTTTGTAAACATTAATGTTAATCCATCGTATCTTATCCATAGTTGTTTTTTTGGATGATTGGTATAGAATAAGCTACTAAATAATAGACTATTTGGGGTACATATTTGCTAAGGGTTCAAAAAAAGCAATTATTCATATATATTAATAAACTCGTTCTACAAAAATGAAAGACAAAAGACAAAAGACAAAAGACAAAGACGAACAGTAAAATAAAATAAAAGATAAAAAAATGGTATAAATAGAAATCGAGCAACACCTTAAGAAAATAGAAACAAAATTCAATAATGAGATGATATTTTTCAAATTTATTACAAATGAGGAAACAAGTTCAGGATTCATTGCAAAATGAAATATAAAAGACTCAAAATACAAACCTGACATTCTAGAACGATCCCTTTTGTGACCAAGGAACTCTAGAATATTCCTCCAACCTTTGATTGACAACTTGTGAACACTTGGAAAAAAAAAAGCGAAAATGATGAATATAAAAATACTGTTAAGGATAGTTGACCATTTATATTTGCCGTACATTACTTCTTACCATATTTGCCCTTTGATTAGTGACAAATATATTGTATTCATTTATTATTATTTCCTTTTATAGTTCTTTGCTTATTATTTGTAATTTATCACATTTCTCTACTTTGTAAATGATTATAAATAGAGAGCTTTCATCACAATGTGCGGTGGTTTCAGCAAGCATTTTTATGGTATCATAGCACTTTTGGTTTAACAACCCTATCCTTTTTCAGTATGGCTTCTGAATCCTCTTATCATCTTCTCCATTTCAGCACTAATCCATATGATCACCATCAAACTTTCTTCCTCCATTTATCTTCTGAAAAAGTCAACTTCTCCCTCTCCTTGAGTCAAGACATGTTGGGCTATGTTGATGGAACCATGGTTCCACCACCTCGCTTTGAACCAGAAACCTCCTCAACATTCAACCCCAAATATTTGGCGTGGTGAACAGTCGATCAACGACTTCTCTGTCTCCTGCTCTCCTCTCTCATCGAGGAAGCCATTGTTATCGTCGATGGTCTCTCCACTGCACGTGATGTTTGGCTTGCATTGGAAACTACGTTCAGCCATCATTCGAAAGCTTGTGAACTGAGACTCAAGGATGACTTGCACCTGATGAAACGTGGCACCAAACCTATTGCTGAGTATGCCCGTGCCTTCAAAACAATTTGTGACCAACTTAATACCATTGGCAGACTTGTCGAGGACATTGATAAAGTGCACTGGTTACTTCGTGGACTTGACACCGATTTTTTAGCTTTTTCTACTTCTCATGATGCCTCTCACCCCTATCCCTTGTTTTGCAGATTTAGT